TATTAAATAAACGGTATCAGCATTCTGACACATACTTTCTCCCATAAGTTTGTCAACTACCTTTATCATGTGTAAGCGGTGAGAGTAAATATACGGAAATGGAATTTGTACAATTTTGTTCAGAATTTAAAGGACTATAACATACTAAATTTTTATCAAACTCGTTTAAACTTTTAAATTTTTATCAAAATTGTTCGGGCCATTTTTGGAAAAATCAGATTTTTCCGTTATTTTATGGGGTTTTTATGGGAAAATAACATAATTTAAAATAACTTTTAAACCGTAATTTTTACAGAAATGGGATTTGCACAATTTTTTCAGAATATAAAGGACTATAACATACTAAATGTTTTATCAAAATCGTTCGGGCCGTTTTTGGGAAAATTCTATTTTTCCGTTATTTTATGGGAAAATCCAAATTTCTAAAAAATTGAAAAAAACTATCAAAATTGTAAGGACCATAACATACTATGTTGAATAAAAACAGGATTTTTTTTCTAAAATCCTATTTTTCGTTATTTTATGGGGTTTTTATGGGAAAATAACATAATTTACCATAACTTTTGAACCGTAATTTTTAGAGAAATGGGGTTTTCACCAGTTTGTTCAGAATTTAAAGGGCTACAACATACTAAATTTATATCAAAATCGTTCAGGCCATTTTTGAGAAAATTTGATTTTTCCGGTTTTTTATGGAAAAATCCCCATTAAAAATCAAAATTTCAAAAAAATGAAAAAAACACCTGGAGATACCATGGATTAGAACCTACATACCAAATTTCATCGAAATCGGACCACAGGTGTAGTCTCTAGGTCTGTACACATCCAGACACACAGACACACACACACACACACACACACACACACACACACACACACACACACACACACACACACACAGACATCACTTCGAAAACCACTTTTTTGGGTCCAGGGGGACCCAAAACGAATATATCCACTCAAAACTCAAACTCGAAAATTTTGACGAAAACAATACTTTCTCCATATACTATGGTATAGGGGGAGAAAGTAAAAAACAAACTATTTTTAGGTTTTGAAACACGCAACTGTGCGTAAGCAAATTATATTTGACAATAATCCACCTTAAATGAAAGCAGCTTCACATGCATGCAAATCAGTGGATAAGATTATTACACAAGATGACATGAGACTGATAAGGATATCAAAGGACTCAAGACAATGCCCTGAGGAATGCCTTTGCTTGCATGTTGATGAGTTCATTAATTCCTCACATCTAAATTGATGTTCAACTCCTCAACTGATGCTTAACACCACATGGTGTGATTTGATAATGATAAAACATTTAATTTGTGAAGTGATATTTAATCAACTGACTTTGACAGCAGTAAACTTGGAATGGAATTACATTGGTAAATTTAAACTGAGAAAAAAAAGATCAATAAAAAGACAACATTTTATTTATGCAGAAACAAAACTTTGTTTACAGGGTTTAATGTTAATAGGTAGGCATTGACTCTGAAATCTTGTTCAGTGTGTGTTTCGTGTTGACGGTTGATTATGCTGATGTTAGCTTTAACTCTTTTATTACCAAGAGTATCAATTTTTACTTTCTCCCCCTATACCATAGTATATGGAGAAAGTATTGTTTTCGTCAAAATTTTCGAGTTTGAGTTTTGAGTGGATATATTCGTTTTGGGTCCCCCTGGACCCAAAAAAGTGGTTTTCGAAGTGATGTCTGTGTGTGTGTGTGTGTGTGTGTGTCGGTGTGTCTGGATGTGTACAGAGCTAGAGACTACACCTGTGGTCCGATTTCGATGAAATTTGGTATGTAGGTTCTTATCCATGGTATCTCCAGGCGTTTTTTTCATTTTTTTGAAATTTTGATTTTTAAACGGGATTTTCCCATAAAAACCCGGAAAAATCGTATTTTCTCAAAAATGGCCCGAACGATTTTGATTAAAATTTAGTATGTTGTAGCCCTTTAAATTTTGAACAAAATGGTACAAATCCCATTTCTGTAAAAATTACGGTTCAAAAGTTATGGTAAATTATGTTATTTTCCCATAAAAACCCCATAAAATAACGAAAAATAGGATTTTTGACAAAAATCCAGTTTTGATTTAACATAGTAGGTTATGGTAGCTCTTTAAATTCTGAACAAAATGGTACAAATCCCATTTCTGTAAAAATTACGGTTCAAAAATTATGGTAAATTATGTTATTTTCCCATAATAACCCCATAAAATAACGAAAAATAGGAATTTAGACAAAAATCCAGTTTTGATTTAACATAGTAGGTTATGGTCCTTACAATGTTGATAGTTTTTTTCATTTTTTAGAAATTTTGATTTTAGATGGGGATTTTCCCATAAAACCCCATAAAATAACGGAAAAATAGGATTTTCCCAAAAATGGCCCGAAAGATTTTGATAAAAATTTAGTATGTTATAGTCCATTATATTCTAAACAAAATGGTACGAATCCCTTTTCTGTAAAAATTACGGTTCAAAAGTTATTGTAAATTATGTTATTTCCCCATAAAAACCCCATAAAATAACGGAAAAATCGGATTTCCCAAAATTGGTTTGAACAATTTTGATAAAAATTTAGTATGTTATAGTCCTTTAAATTCTGAACAAAATTGTACAAATCCCATTTCCGTATATTTACTCTCACCGTTTACACATGAGAAAGGTTGTTGACAAACTTATGGGAGAAAGTATGTGTCAGAATGCTGATACCGTTTATTATTCTATGGTTTAAATCCAAAACACCAACAATTGTTCACCATTACCTAGGTTTATTTCATCAAGTACTTTGTACATTGGTTAAATAATAAGAAACAAATCTATATAATTAATACGCTACATGAAAATTTCTCGGTTGAACTCCTTCGCCATTTCTTAACCGATTTTATCCATTGACGTCTCATTGGAAAGAGCGTGTCACGTAGATTTGCAAACTGGCCTTACATTTTTGAAAAAGTCCCTTGGGCTCTGACCCAGTGGCTTTGAAAGTTCCCATGTTATCCTTATGAAGAACATAATTGTTTACATTTTGATCAGCTGTATTATTTAATTGCTGTTATTTATTTTTAAATTCAATGAAACGCATTGAGTACATTTATTTACTATTTGAGTTTGTGTAAATATAACCCCCAAGACGGCGGATCGTGTTAGTATGGTTGTATCTTAAGTTTGAGCATTTATCGTTGTTTTGTGTCGCTATGACGGATCGTGTTAGCATGATTATAACTTAAATTTGTGCATTAATCGTTGTTTTGTGTAGCTATAGTTTGTTTATTTATTTTTATTTTAAATGACTACGACGCGACGACAATGAAACATGGACAGGAGGCGTAATCATGATAACGACCGCAGCTACAGAACAGTGGCGCGTAATATGCTTAACTCATCACAGTCAGCACCTGACCCTGAACAGTCTCAACTATTAGGTTACAAATGCGCCCTACACTACCCCAAAACGACTTTTCATTCTCAATTGGCCTCTATCAATGACCTGTGTTGCCCGTACAGCGAGGCATTTTGAGAAGGAGAATACCGGCCGGAATGCTTTAGGTTTATCAATAACTTAGATAAACATGGACAACCTTATATGGCTATAAGTCGGAAAATGTTTGTATAAAACATTAAAAAGCAATACCAGGTTATGAAATATGATACAATATTTACAGGAAATTTTGATTAATGTTACATACATCGTGAGTATCTCCATGAGTTACACCCCAGCCTAATACATGAGTTGACTCTTTTAGACTCATTGTAAACATGACTGTTATTCATTTTGAAATAACTCCTGTAATACTTTGCAATTGCTCGAATTCGAGCAACATGTACACTAGTACCCTTTAATACTTTACTTTAAAATAGCGCCCATACGATTGTAGGTATTTTGAGCCAAGTTCGAATGGACATGAATGGCGCGATCTTGTAGTCTTCTTAGTCACCAAGGCCGTACATATTCCTTAGACACAGCTGTTAATATGCTGACCAAACCAAACTGCATACAGCCTTGAGCCAATGGCAACTAAGGGACCTTCAGTTTATAGTGGAATCTGAACCACATTTTTGCCTTGTAATTTACAAATTGGTCTAATTATCAGGATAGTACCAACCATCAACAAAACAGCATATCCAATGTTCTTACGCCCTAAAAAGTGCTTGCATTTGAATAAAATCCAATTAGTGCTTTGTTCTAAAAATGAGAATATATATATAGTCTTTGTAAGCTAGAACCTAGAACTGCTAAGCATATTTGCATGACTAAGTTATACCATACTTACTATCCAGTTACAAGCAAAACAAGTAGATATTAAAATTTGGAATGTCCTGTTTTTTAGAACAAACAAAAAAAGTCTGGAAAGTACAAATTGTTTTAAATTGAAAATCTTGTTGACCAATATATTTGATATCATATAGTTTTATTTTCCTGTATATAATGACAATGCATAGACACATAGCATCTTTAAATGCGTTTTATGAGTGCAAATTAGGTAGATCTTGGAGAGTTAATTTGGCACTCATACTCTTTTAGCAGTTTAACTTTTTCCTAGGGTTTAAGGCACACCAGATGGGATGCATGAAAAACTTTTTTTGTGACGCACAGACCTGCAGTTAACTGATTGACTCTGCATAACTTAATACATATAAGAACTGTTTGTCATCCAAGAAGAATTTTTTTAAAATCTAAGAATCCTTTTTAGCTTATATGCTTTCCTTATAAGATTGGACTACTTGTTTAACAAAGACAACAAATTCAAGTAAATCAAGGAAACCTTTTGAAAAAAATTTATAAATTCTACCATACCAGATTTTAGGAAGTTTATTCTTATCTTTTCACACACAACCTAATTATTTTTGTAATTTATTTATAAAGTACCTAAGATTTCCAAGATTGTTAAGGTCTACACCCTTAACTTTCTCAACACCCAATTATCCTTAGGTAAAAAAAAACTTCTTAATCTAGAAAAAAACCTTTTATTTAGGAATGGAATACTATAACATTTATAAATATCAGTCAAGTACAATACAAAAGGATCCAATCATAAGAACACTATAATGTAATTACAATTTGAGGAGTAACAGTTAAAGTATATTTAAAAGTAAAAAACAAAACAGTTTTCTTGAAAATCTACACAAAAGATAAAAGAGATAGATAATGCATAACAATGGCTTTTTTCTTTATCTTACTTGAGCATCAATGTATCACAAAGTATTTACTTTTGGCAGCTCATCTTACATCTAAAACTCTTTTAGAGCAAAATAACAAAAATGCACTTAAAACTAATAATGTCCCTCAGTAATTAGGCATCATATAGGAACTCTGTAGCACCAATAGCAGTAACAGTAATAAGCAGTAACTAAGAACCCGTACAATTATCTTACTAACAGATAATAATAGGAAAATATCAGTATTAGTAAATTAAAATTGTACTATATTTAAAGAACACATTTAGTTACAAGGCACTTTGGTGGTTCAAGTCTTATGAGTTACTGTACCGGTATAGAGTTATTTAGTCTAGACGCTTGAATAATATTTAATCACAGTTCTTGTAATAGTGAAAACGCAAGTTATTTTCATATTATCACAAACTCAATTTCCCTTCAAATTCAGCAAAAACCTTTGTCAAAAACGGCAATAAACATTACAAATTGCACCAAGAAGGGTTAATCTTCCTAAATAATTTAATAGTTTAGTCGATCTGAGGTGGTTCAAAAAAGCTTGTCAATTCTTAGATTATGAGCGTCACTTAAGTCTATTTGGGGATAAGTTTGGTTCGGTCCAAGTTTAGCTGAGGGTTGTTGGCAGCAATCTCGTTGAACACTTGTTGAGCCGTTTCTGCGACAGGTCGAACATGCAAGTCCACATCTTGAGAAAACAAGGGACATCTGCAATTGAAAACATGTTCTTCATTATAACTGTGTTCAAGAACAACTGATTTCTGAGCAAGGGCCATTGGATGCTGCAGCACTGAAAGCTTGTAGGGGTGTGTGGGAGGTTCAGATGGAGGCATTATTCAATGTATATGTTGTTGACACTGATACTCCATCAAACACGAAACTCCCATCCGAAAAAATATTGGAGAATGCTGTAAGAGGGAAGAAAAGAAAATACTTGACACTAACTGAATCAAGAAACTCTTCTTTCACTCCACTAGTCACTTCTGTAGACGGAATGCTTGGCATGGAGTTCCAGACCTTGTTCAGAGCAATGGCAGAAAGATAAAAGGTGATGAACTGGATAAGGGTAAAAACCATCTGTGCGACATTAAGGGACAGAAGCACATGTCTAAGGAGAACAAGAAAGAAGTGGAGGACCCTTGGAGAATTTGAAGATGGGGCTAGAGTACCAGTATTTTATTAATTTAAATAGCATTGTTTATTTTTTAATGTTAACTGAATGATTAATATTACATTTCTTTTATTAATGTCCTTCATTATAACCAACGTGTGACTCTTTATGTGTACCTACGTTATTTTGACGTGCATATGAATGAAGTGTGAGTGTAGAAAGAGTGAGAAGACCTGGGCAGCCTTTTCACTAAGATGAGCTTTGTCTTTAGCCAGTTTGGCACATTGTCTGACACATTGTATATACGACCGAATAGTGGTACTGGCTTAAGGTATTAATGTTCCATGTTGTGGGATAAATGTTTTTAAAACTCAGAACGTATTCTGCTCCCAACGGTTAAATATTATTTAGGCATCACAAGTAAAACATACTAAAATGCACATTTAGCATATGAGTAGGCCATAGCCTAGGTATTTTGTATTTACTATAATTTATTGCCTAAATGGGTACCGTAACAATAAATAATCAAACTGATGATAATTACTTATCATAAGGTATATGATATAAGGTATATATATACCTATATCATAAGGTATTAATGTTCCATGTTGTGGGATAAATGTTTTTAAAACTCAGAACGTATTCTGCTCCCAACGGTTAAATATTTAGGCATCACAAGTAAAACATACTAAAATGCACATTTAGCATATGAGTAGGCCATAGCCTAGGTATTTTGTATTTACTATAACTTATTGCCTAAATGGGTACCGTAACGATAAATAATCAAACTGATGATAATTACTTATCATAAGGTATATGATATAAGGTATATATATACCTATATCATAAGGTATTAATGTTCCATGTTGTGGGATAAATGTTTTTAAAACTCAGAACGTATTCTGCTCCCAACGGTTAAATATTTAGGCATCACAAGTAAAACATACTAAAATGCACATTTAGCATATGAGTAGGCCATAGCCTAGGTATTTTGTATTTACTATAACTTATTGCCTAAATGGGTACCGTAACGATAAATAATCAAACTGATGATAATTACCTATCGAAATTATCACCTCCATCGCCATTAAAGTGTGAGTAGTCTTTGACAGGTTGCCGGCAAACGTAACACATCATTGCGCCACAATTGCAGATCATCTTGTTGCATCCAGAAGACTTGACAAAGTTTTTATTGCAGCTGTGGCATGTCCTGTTTATACAGACAAATCATATAGATAGACCGACACAACAGATATACATAACATATAACATCTGTGGAGTAAACATTTGATTATATCAGCTTGCACCATAACTGTGATTACAATTAGGCCCGCAGGTGGTGTGATAGAATACTCTAAACAGATGACCTGTAGGGAAAAGAATAGCATGAAATGGGATCGATTTAAAGAATGAAGTTGTGCAAATCACTTGAGGCACTCCTGTATAATGTACTCACAATTGCATACACGCTTGTTAGTTGTATGCTAGTCTCCATATTGCCTGCACGGGTTTTAATGTTTTTACTAGCCACCCAATTTCCAGCTTGCTTGAATGGTTTTGCTAGACATTCAATTGGACAAGCTAAAATTTTACTTTTAATCAATATATTTTCCCAACAGAAAAAAACTTTGAGCTATGCCAATTAAATTTACAAGAGTTGATCATATAGTGATTGTTAATGCCTGTAGTATTATGTAATTTGATTTGTGCATGCTCAAGGACCAAATAAAAGTTTGTCAGTAGGTTTGGGGAATTTTAAAAATAGTTCAGCAAGAATGAATGACGGGCGTATGTTAGTAAATTACTACACACACAGTAATTTGAGTATATGTAAATTTTTAAACAATATTGTATAAAATAAAAGGAATAATATTTCTTTCTAACAAAATTTGGTTGGTAAATCTATGTTATTTTAGATTTACATCCACACACAATAAAATATATTTTCATAGTTATTATAATTAGCAAACCTCATTAAAGCCTCAGTCATACGGTTTTCAATAATAAGCCGAGCTCTCTCTTCATCCTCTTCTTTGAATATTTCACACATCTCGGGAGAATGATCTTCTTTGCGGCAAATTCTACAAACAATACAAGTTTTTTTAGTCCAGTTAATACAACATTTACATTGCAAGAAACCACCTTTACACATTGAATAATTAGCAGGCATTCATCTGGACTGTTTGAATCAGAATGATACAAGTCTGTTTTTTTAGGTATGTTTATGAAGTAACCATGAAATATTTCAATTTTGTGTTTATAAATAATGTATAACCTATTGAGAAGACTCATCCACTGTACAGGCAAACCTGCTCTTCCAAAAATCAAACCTATTCTGACAGATCCTTTTACCAAGAATAGGCTATTGACAACGGTAAACAAAATATGGAACAAATCCACAATCTTTGTTAACGTTTATATTAAAGTGACGGCTAACCTGCAAGACAGCTTCATGCAGGTAGGGTTCTGACAGATAAACAGTGTTTCCTCGCCAGGGCCGTAAGCGTAAGGACAGAAAGGACAGGTCTCTACGCCTGCAATGTTGGCCCTGCGTATCTCCTCCTCCTGTATACGATCCATCAGCTTCTCAACCATGTGACTGGGCAGCAGCTCCTGTAAGGGAATACCGTTACTTTGCAATAACAGTTGGAAAGTTTCTAAGCTCTTCTGTAATAGGTCAAATAATACCGATCACCTATTCCTTCCTCGTTCAGTACGTTTCAGCCATTCAGGAAGAGACATCAGCGTTAATTGTCTCACTCGTTCAATCAGTTTAGACAACGTAACAAATATAATAGGACATTCTCAGCCTTCTTTTGCCAGGAAGTGGGTGACACTTCATTACTATTTGTCAAACTACATTAAATAGCGCCCACCCCTAGTCAAGATATAACTGTTTAGTCAATAAGATATATTAATTAGTAATATTTTTAGTTATAAGAATTTCTACCAACAGATCAATATTTTTAGTTTTAATATTTTCGTAATGTAATCTAGTTTTATCTGAGTGAGGCAGACAGAGATAGACGAAGCCCAGTCTGAGTCACTTCTGCCAGCAACGGAATTTCCCAGCGCTTGTAGCGTACCTGTATGCACAGGAAAGACCAGTTTGGCTCAGTTCTTGTTCTCGTGCACAGCGTACTGCTGTGTTCCCTTTGTCCACGCTTCTCTTATAGGCGTTTGGATTAATTAACTCTTTGTAACTCTCTCTTATGTATCATTAATCAGATTTTAAGTAAAATCCTCTTATTACTCTAAATCAAAGGCAGTGTTTTATAGTCCCCAGTGTTGTTCTAAATTACTCCCCCCCTCTGTGCTCTATTCTTCTAGAACTTCTTTGTGCGCGTTCGTGAGCAGATTCTCAGGACATTTCTACGTGGACGTATCGTTAACGGTCTACGGCGACAGAAGATCATTATCTGAAAGACATTTGTTTTGGCGTGAACGCTCTACTAAATCAAGATCAAGATTCCTCCATCCCTAGTGACTTCCCTCTGTGCAACACCCTAGCTTGGACACGAGGCCTTCCCTTAGCCTAGTAGAACACTGGAAATTGGTGAGTGACTCTTTTCAATTCATTCATTTAATTAAGGTGTTTTCAAGCTCTATGGTTCCCGACCTAATCGGGTGGTCCTTCGAATTTTACTTATTTCTCACTCTCTCATTTGTAATTATCTCATATTTTACTCCCCCAAACAATCAACCGAACAATAACATACATAGACATCATGATGCAATCACAAACTGAACCAAACTCTTGAAATGATGCGCTTGCAGTATAAATACCAGTCACTATTCTACAATTATTGACTCAATCCACAACAATGTCAACCAGTCCGTGTGTGACAAACCTGTAATGCTTCATTGCTTTGTAATATTTGTGAGTGTAATGTGTTTTAGACCATTTCCCTATAGGGAAGTAGCTATTACCGTAGGCCTCTATGGCCTTGTGGTAAGAGCTAGGCACCATTTAATTTTTCATTTTGATATCCATAGAGGGAAAAAACACAATCTGTTCAAAATGTCATTTATATATGTGTGTCCGTGAATAACTTGGTTCACTTTAGTAGACTTTAGTAGATTGGTAAACCTTACTGCAGTGCCAAAATGGCTGTAACAACTGATGAGCTGTAGACGCCAACTTTGACTCATTGATATTCAATGACTTTAGAACAAAAGAGATCTTTAAGTTTGAGTTTTTAAGAATCAAACCTGAACAGTTCGCAAAGGAATGACAGCTCCACAGTTCATTAGGCAAGGGAAGCTCGTCTCTCCTTCACCAATTTTAATCTCGGCACTTCTGCAACAGAGGAGTACTAAGTCGACATCTTGTTCAGTTGAGACATTTGGTTATGTTTAAACTGATATTTAGTGAGTCGGTGGCTCAGTTGGTAGCGTCACGGACTTCGGGCCCAAGGCAGCGATGTCAAGGGTTCGGATCCTGGTCACTGCAGGTAACATTTTATCAGTACAGTTCACCTTTATACTGTACCGGCTCACCCCTTGCTTTGCTGGATACGCTTCATGCACAGATCTGTAGTCTATGTGGACAGACAAATGCAAGGTCAAAAGAGGCCGCCAACCTCAAAAAAAGGAAAAAAAAACATTGTCTAGTTAGTTTTTAGTCCACAATACTAAACCGAAAAATTACAAAAATATTTGAAAAAAACTAGGTGTCTACAGGAACTATAAGGATTATTGAGCATATCAAATACTACTAGCTACTAGACTAGACAGAAGAGGCAAAACAAATTGAATAAAATGCTTGAAACAGTCTATGATATGTATATTTTGAAAACTCTCCAGTTTTGCCTGTATTCTTTAAAACCTCCTGTAACAATTTAAAATGAGACCACTCTATATCCAATTAATTTCTAGATATCTCTCTTTCTCGTTAAAAAAAGAGCAAACTAAATTAATTCACAATCTGAGTGAGCCACCGAGTCAGAAAGAACAAATAAGAATAATCAGTTAACAAAGTAGAAAGTAAGAAGTAATATAATTACCTAAATGATGTAGCTTTTAATGTAATTAATAAATTACCTAAATTATGTGTACCTTTTAATGCAATCAACACAAAACAGGTGACCAACAGGCCCTTCGCATGTTCCTAGATTGATGTACTCCACTATTTCTTCTGCACAAACTTCACATTCAAACACTTCATCAACCTAAAAATTGTAAATAAGTTGTTACAACCATGCTTTCAGAAAAATAAACTCATTTCTTCTTTTAATTTATTTGACCACTCAACATTCACTTACCTACTTAAATACCCCCGCCGCAGCAAACCTGCCGACTAAGCAAATTTCCATTTGTCTGAATAGATTTTCAGTTAAATATAATTTAATAACATTAGGTTTAACGAGTACCTAGGTTTGCTGCTACAAGGAAACTAATAAAGTGTGTTTTTGAGTAAAATATTGATAGCTTAGACCAAAATAAATAAATTTGCCAAGTTTGATCAAAATATATCCATAAACAAGCAAACTACAACATTTGACATTCTCCATAAGAATAACATGGGAATTTTTTAAATTTTCCCCGTTACTAATAACCGAACAAAAATACTTTTATATACTAAATTATTTGTTTTTTTAGGCTCTTTAAAAAGGTCTAAAGAGAAATTGGGAAATTTTGTGTTTTGAGGGTCAAAAGTGAGAAAAACCAATTTTTAAAAATCGGACAAAAATTACTTAAGTTATCGCGTTCACGGACGTATATATATATAAATCTATATATATATATATATATACATATATAAAAATTTGAACGAATGTTGTTTTTGGCTTCTGGGGACATCAAAATGAAAAAGTAAATCGGTCCCGGGTCTAGGTCTTACCGTGCCACCTACGGTAATAGCTACTTCCCTATAGGGAAATTCGCTAAAAAGGCAACAACATGAGGTTTACAACGTTTTCATGTTTTACACATTTTTCCTAGTGAAAAAGGAAGTTAGAAGAAAACAAAACATATTTATCAACTAAGGTGGTTCAACTCAAAAATAAATTAAAAGTAGAGGTATTAAAGTAAGGTAATTTAATTAGGCCTATGTGCTGTAAATTCTTTTTTTTATTCTTTGTGTTGTCAATACAAATTTGAATTTTTTAACATTTTGAAAGGGAACGGTCAAAATTCTGGTCTTGTCTAACGACCTTTTTGTTAGATAGCATCATGTGATGGCGCAATGAAAAGTGGCATCTGGTCCTGGGAAAGACCTCGCTTGGAATCAAACCAAGTTACCTTCATATTTGATGTTAACTTCATAAAATGTATAACAGATGCTTAAATCAGATGTTTAAATGTACAGTAGAGTCCCGCAAACTCGGCTCTCGATAACCCGGCAGTCTGGATAACTCGGCCATCACCTGGCTCAGAAAATTAGTGATTTTTTGAGTCCGTGTTAAAAATGGACTCAAGCCAGCTCAAGCAAATCATTCGCAACTCATACCAAGGATTTGTTGTACTATATCTGATGACTTAATACTGACTTGTAATATAAATATAAATAAAAAAAGCGGTTAAAAAGCTTAAAAAATTGTATTTTTCTTATTTTAAACCCTTGTTCCTGATAACCCGGCATTTCACAAACTCGGCATCCCTTCCAGTCCACATTACGCCGAGTTTGCGGGACTCTACTGTATAACAAGCACTTACAGGAGGTGGAGGTGGTCTGTTGATTTCTTCTTGGAATCTAGCAGCCTCAATGGCACTGTCAAGGTATTGTTGAATCTCATTTTTGTGCTCAATATACCACACCTGTAAAATATGGTGTTAAGAGTACAACGTTTCAGAACCCTCATAAAACCTCCTCACCCTCAAAGATAATCTACAGAAACAATCAAGTATTTTAACACAACATTCATCAATCAATTAAATTTCTTTAAAGTACTTTTCTGCAAAATACCAATTGGTGAATGCAAATAAAGTTGCTATTCTCACTGTTGCTCATTCAGTTGAGTTGTACATGATTGAAAATCGGCAAAATAGATTTAGTGAAGACTCTAATCCCAAAATTGGATTAAACTTAAAGAGTGATAAAAAATAAAATTAAACAACACATACCAAATTTATTAAAATTTAATTTTGAAATTTTTTTATTATAAAATATGCAGGAAATGGTAATCCTACTAATCCTACTAATATTATAAATGAGAAAGTTTGGATGTATGGATGTATGTTTGTGACAAGTGAACGCGAAAAATACTGGTCGGATTGGGCTGAAATTTGGCATGATGATAGCTCACATTCCCGATTAACATATAGGCATATTCTTACTTCAAAAATCCTTTTGGGATCCGCCCCAGTGGCTCTGGAGTTTCCCATGTTAACCTTATGAGAAATGGAATTATTGAATCTTAATTTAGCTGTTTCAATTTAATCAAGTTGGTTCTGTTCTATGATGTTCAATAGCATTAAAGTTACAAGGATTACCAACAGGGTGCAGCACTATTATTTCTTTTACATTTATGACAACAGCTAATTTGCAACTAAAAGGTGAGTGAGCATAGCGAACAAACTTCAACCTGGAGGCGAGTTAGCGTAGCGAACGAGCTAACCTGAAGGCAAGTGAGCGCAGCGAACGAGCTCCAACCTAAAGGTGAGTGAGCGTAGCGAACAAGCTCCAAACTAAAGGTGAGTGAGCGTAGCGAACAAACTTCAACCAGGACGTGATTGAGCCATGCGAACGAGATAATCTTGAAAATTAAGAAGTTAAACGGGGCAAAGCCCGAGGGTTACAGCTAGTTAGGTATATACCGAGAATATGCTTTACCCAACTGGAAATGATAAGGCTATATGAGATAAACTATCAGCAAATTTAGTTCTGATTCAGAGCAACGCCTGACTCACTGTAGGGACCATTGCACAATCTATCTAATGAACATAAATGGATTTGAGACATTTCCTTACATAGTATACATAGAACAAAATATTAGAGGTACACTGTAGCTATATTTTCAAAACTTACCCAAATGCAAATGATCCACATTTCTTTGCTTACTAATAGTTATGCAAAAAATAACATTAAATTAGAGATGTTGAAATGTATTTTTTTATGTTTAAGACAAGAGTAAATTTTAAATTTTATGCAAGAAAATAATTTTTGGATTGCCATTTTACTAGTTTTATTTCAAGGGCTGCTATTGATAAATCTAGAGGTGTTCATTCTTTGAGAACATTTTGCTAGCAATATATCTTACCTCCTGATGAAAGAACACATTGACAGGATGGTGGAGTGGGGTGTATTCCAAAACTTGAGGAATAGGGATATGTCCTTCCCTCTCAAACTGGGCACAAATTTCCGTCAGGTTGTATCCGCTCACTTCCAGACTTTCTTTTATATCTTTATCACTTATTCCTTGGTACCTAAAGTTTCATGGAAGGACAAAGTAAAAATATAGGATTTAAATTAATGTAAAATAAGTAGTTCAAACAGTAAATCAGTGTTTGTACAAGGGTTGTACGCAAGTTAAGGACTCCTATCGAGGTCCTACTAGCTTAAGTCCAACCGAGCTAGCTCGAATCTGAAACAAATGCTGTTTTTTTTTTACTTTATAGTTTATTCACTAATATTCCAACCGGTTTCCATCCCTGTACAACAATTAGTCTTGTTATAGTAGCAAAAAACAACATTGAGGCAAATACGCTCTGGTCAAGTGCAACTTGCATTCTGTGATAAGATTTCTGTGATCCAAGTCATCAACCCCTACTGAATTCCGTCACCAAGAATGGACTTAAATGAAGTAAAAAGGTTGGAACTAGACAACCTGCATAATGGATGGAGTGATTTTGATGGGGGTTGGAAACTTTTCCACGTAGTTGATGATGTTTTGCACAGTGCACAGTTGCTGTTGTACTTCAGTCGAGGTTCAGGTAGTGACCAAAATTAAGGAAATTGTGCTTTGACTAAAGGAGGAATTGCCAAACTGAAAGGAGACATCTCAAAAGCTTGGTTTACATGATGCCAGTTGGTGAGACAGTTGTCCTGTCCATAACGTGGTTTCAGGATTGTCACAGACATGGAAGTCGAAGGATACCTTAACCCCATAAATCGCTCAAGCAGGTTTTTAAAAAAAGAATCTGATTTTCTTGTTATTTTATGGGTTTTTTCTATTGGGAAATCACAAGTTACAATAGCTTTTTAACCACCATTTTCATAGCCATAGGGGTTTTACTGTTTTGATTAGAGTCAAGTTATGGATTATAGCATACTAAAATTTAATTAAAATCATTCATGCCATTTTTAAAAAATTGGATTTTTTCTGTTTTTTATTGGGAAACCTCCATTAAAAATCAAAGTTTTAAAACACAATGAAAAAACACCTGGAGATACCATGGCACATACCAAATTTTATCAGTAGCTGTGTACACATCCAGACAGACAGACACCCACACACGTTAATCACTTCTAAAACCAGGGTGTCCCAAAATGGTTAGCAACTAAACTCTCAAACTTAAAAATTTTGACAAAAACAACACTTTCACCTTATGTATAGGGGGAGAAAGTACAAATTATTCGCCAAGAATTATAGGAAATAAAATAGTAGATGAAGGTGATTTGTTGAGCCTAAATACCAATTGGATACAGTAAAATCTTAAACAAGTGTAACTGGTAGTTGGTACCTATACAGACAAAATAATAAGAAGAGGATTTAAATTACCCCCAAAACTAAAAGAATTGATAGTGTACAGGTGAATTTTCTTACCTTGCTTTCAAGTAAATTTCAGCGTTTTGTTTATAACCAGTTCTGATGTATCCAGCACTTGAAAACTCTACCAATGGATCTGGAATTGCTTCCAAGAACTGTGCAACAGTGCAGTGAAATTCTTCCATGAGTTTCGGTTCCTCCTCAACAGGTTGTGCGAGTTTAGGTTCCTCCTCAACAGATTGTGTTTTTGGATAATTTTTCAACTCAAGATTTTTAGAAATAAAGGCAAGAATACTATCTTGGTCCTTCAATAGTTTACATTGGCTTAGCAGATAATCGGGGTTGGCATCTGAAAAAATATTGCAGAGTAAGGCATATTTCTTATCGGGATCTTGAAACTGCGAAGGTGCGACAACAGTTGTGTTTTTCACCAGCTTTTCACGCAAGAGCCGGTTTTGATTGACAAGTTTCCTCCGCAACCTTTCTTCTTCATTTTTAACTTTGCAGCTTCTCAACCTTGCCTGCTTGGCAGAGCAGTTTGACACAGTTGATTTTGAACTGCTATTCCTCCTACGACGGGGAGTTGGTGTTGCCTTGAGAAACGATGAACTATTTGTTAGTTTTTTACTGTCTGAGGCTTGTTCAACTTCTTTTGATTCTTTGGAAACATCAGGTAGTTGCTTAGCTTCCTCCGATTGTGTAGAAATATTATTTACTTCCAAAACATAATTTTCTGCCAAAAGGAAAGGATATTTAATAAAACACTCAGGAGGAGAATCATCCTCATCTCCACTCAAAACATCATCCTTCACGAGAAATTGGATCATACACTCAGGAGGAGAATCATTCTCATCTTCACTCAAAACATCATTTTCTTTCACGAGATATTTGATAAAACATTCAGGTGAGGAATCATCCTCATCTCCAATCGACAAATCAATTGTATCCAAAAGCACTTCTCCTATTAACAAGGTCCCAGATCTAGATGTAGAAGCCTTAACTTCAGTAAAATTTTCAAAAGAGTTATTATTTGGCTCATATTTATCTTGTGGGATAGGGCTACATGGTTCCTCAAACACTGTGTTTTCTGCTTCGGACATGATCACATTTCTTTCCGAGAGATCTTTACCATTAACAATGGCTGAAAGCAATTTGCCATTACTCAAAGAAGACTTTTGAGATGACTCATTAACAAGCGGTTGACAAACATTTGAGTTTCCAGCACAAATTACTTTTGGACTTACATCAACCACAACTTCAGCAGTTGTATCAGTATCAACACTACCAGTTTCTAAATGATCTTCCTTAGTAGTTTCTTTAGTCAACGGGAACTCAAAACTACAAATTACCTCAACTAGTTGTTCTACAGTAGGTTCATCATCTACGTAAGCATTGTAAATTCCACTCAAGAATTCCTCTGAAACATTTGGGAACAGCTCAATCAGCTGATCAAGATCTGAGTTAGGCCTACTCATTTTGCTGTTCTCTGCCTTTCAGATTCAGAAGCATTCCTCAAACCTACAACAATATGTCTATAAATAAAGTGAAGAATTTGCAAACAATTATTACTATTTAAATTTGAGTTCTTCACTGGTCAAGGGTTACAAGATGTCATCATATAAAAACAGGTATAACAAGGGGGGAGGGGGGGGGGTACAAACAAGGAAGCTATATTCTGGTTAGCTCAGTCAATAGACTAAAACCTTCTATGTGCAAAGTCCCCTAATTTAACTAATTAGGGGAAAGCTGGATTTACCCTGATGATAGATCATGATGAGGTAGGCCTACATTTTCTCAAAAGTCCCCACTTCTCCCACTTGTGCATTATCCCTCCTACCCCTACCCCGTGAACTTGCTATTTGCAAGCTTTCGCTATAACGGGCATATCTCAGTTGTTGTTTGTCAAAAAATGAATTTTTTTGTTTTATGTTTATCTATAGGCGTAATAAAAATCCTATATCGTAAGTAAAAACTTTTGTTCATCATTTCCTGAAATAGAAAAAGACCCTGAAATAAAGTATGAAACATCCCCACTTCCTCGTGTTTCAAATTAATAGGAAAAACCCAGTGGAGAAAATCATGTTTTTTCTTTTTCAACGCCGGTAAAGTAAAAATGATTTATTTGCAATCCATGGTTTAACTTTAAGTTACAACACTTTCCACAGAACTGTCGAAATGAACTCTGTTCTAGTGGAGTGGGGGGTCCGATGTTTTTTACTCGTCCAATTACAAATTGGCTAGTGTAAAAGCAACAGACCCACAATCATCTGCCTGTCTGATTGAGCGAAATCGGATAGTGTGAAAGGAGCATTAGGCATGTGCAAAAGGTGCAGCTGAACACGGCTCCGCACCCCGCGGTGTCAAATAAGTTACTTAGGCCTAATTATAGGCCTACATTGAGATTTGTGTTATAGTTTATTTATTTATTTATTTCTACGGCAATCGCCATTTTACAAAATAATACATTGACAAGATTTATAGTAATTTTTTATAGTAACTTGTTGTTGGGCTTCTCAGTTATCTTTAGCTTCAAATAATGACTAGGCTAACTTAAATTAACTTAACTTAATTGAATATGAATCAAATTAAATGTTCCATTCTCTCATTATAAAGTTATATACACTTTACCTAGCCAGTTTTAGAATAAAAGTGAATTTTTATTTTTTTATTAATGCGTTTTTTTACATTAAGTAACTTAATTGCATTTTTGCATACCGTAATTGAGCTGTCGACAGAGAATGCTGAGGTAAACTTATAAGTCTACTAACTTATCTTCTTCAATTGAATAACTTAACTTACCTAGGTTTAAAGTTTAAATTATTTTAACCAAGCAAAACTGAAAGGATAGCTTAAACTTATTAGCCTACCAATTTGTGATACAAAATATTTTATTTCACGTCAACTTATTATCTCGGAAGCAAATCTAAGTTAAGTTAGGCCTATTAAGGGCGATAATAAGAAATACCTAGTAGGAGTTTTATGCTGTAGAACCCACTGTGAGACTCTAATTTTACTAGCCTAGCTTGTTAAACAAACTGAGAGGAGGTTTATATTTAAATATCATAACTTACAGCTTAGCCTACAAATAACTTAGATAGGATGTCAACAATATCATTGAGACAATGCTCTCACATAATTTATGAGGAATAGCTATTTAAGTTAGTTGTTCATCAAACATTGAGTGGTAAGCTATGTGTAGCAGGCCAAAGGTATGTTTAACCCACCAATTCGGTATTTATTCCGTATAGGTGCCTCCAAACAAATTTTTTAATTTGGATATCTTACTTTATAGTTTTTTACCTCCTGAATCCAAATATACCATTATTTTTCACCGCTGATGAAAATTTCTCAAGATATCGCCGCAAAAACATACTTAACAATAAGTACAATAAACAAGATCTAGGATGGATAACATTTCAAGTGATTCTGTAGTCAAATAACTTTAATGTTCTCTATAATAGGAATTTCGTCACATTATGGAGATGGACTGGTGGACTAATTACATGTATGTAGTTCTTATTTAGGCATGTCAGGGTGGTAGGTCGCGTGCTGTATGTGAATTGGTGACTGCATTACATTAAGTGTTTTGAAGTTAGGTTAGATTAGGTAAGTTAAAGTTTAGGTTATAATGTATCAAGTTGTTAGTTTATGTCGCCTGCAGACTGTTTTTGAAAAATTAAAATCCAGAAAAAAACGCTTCAAATGACTATTTCAAAAATGCAAGCATTTTTGAAAAAGTAATTTGAAGTGTTTTTCTCAGGATTTTAATTTTACAAAACACAGAGGATAGGCCTACGCGTCCGGTAACCAGACGTGGATTAGGCGTCCGGTAGTGACATCACCGGGTTGTGGGGTCCCGGAAAGCCATGACCACAACGATACGATGTTCGGCCAGCGTTGTTCGTGGTGTAGTGGATAGAGTGTTCGACTGATATCCAAGAGGTCCCTGGTTCGAAACCCATCGGTTTCTTTAACTTCTTGTCACAGATTTTGCTTTGAATGTAATTTCTTCTTAACTGTACATCTTTTGTTAGCATTTTTGGCATTTATAATTTTATGTTATGAAGAGAATTGAACCTTAATTTGATTTTTTTCATTATCAGCAAGTTTGGTTAGGTTAGGTTATGACAGTACCTAACTGCCGGACGCCTAATCCACGTCCTGTTACCGGACGCGTATCCTCTGCGTTTACAAAAACAGTCTGCAGGCAACATAAACTAACAACTCGATACATTTGTAACCTGAACTTTACCTTCCTAATCTAACCTACCTTCAAGGACTTAATGCAGTCACCAATACACATAAAGCACGACCTATCACCCTGACATGCCTTTTCTGACATCAAAAGGAGTTTGCTTACACATTCTAGAGGTTCGGTTAGGTTAGGTTATGTTAGAATAGCACCAATTATTTTATTATGTAATTTCTAAACGGTGAAATATAAATCAATGAATCATTAATAAGGATAAAATACTGGTAACAATAATACATTATTAACTTATTGGTCTTAGAAAGTGAAAAGTGTAACTTAATCAGGTGATTTTCATATTGCAGAATCAGAGTTAGCTCATTCCACTTGTAAATGTCATCCATCCTACCTGTTTATTGTAATGTTGTGTATTATTACGGCGATATCTTGAGAAATATTCATCAGCTGTGAAAAATAATGGTATATTTGGATTCAGGAGGTAAAAAACTATAAAGTAAGATATCAAAATTAAAAATTCGTTTGGAGGCACCTATACGGAATAATTACCACGAATTCTACCTATTCGTGGTTTTACCTATATTATAGTAGCGGGATCTCCTTAACTTATGTCAGTTGAAAATGAAACCACGAAAATGTTTTAACAGATAAGTTAGGAATCTAAACAGATTTTCCCGGGAAATAATTTTCGTTAGTACAGTACAGTTTAATTTACAGTTTACTATACTTAGGCCTAGGCTACTTACCAATTTCAAAAGTTCGAAAATGCTGATTAGCTAGTTTTACACCAACTTCTAACTAACTAGAACTATACTATACTCAAACAAATTTTCTGTTCACAGTCGAAGGATGCCAAATCAACCCGTTATCGATAAGATAATGAAGCCTATCCAGTAAAGATAAAGATAACCACTACAACAGCACTAAACACTAGCTTAAAATTTAAGAGATAACAGAACCACTGATACCATGCCGGTTTGCCGAATTCTGAACACTGAACTGAAATGAAACTGAACCACCCAAAACAAAACAAAAAAAATGGTTAGAGTCGAGACTAGAGAGAGAGATTGGAGGCTAGTGAGAAGAAGAATCTAGTAACAATACAGCCAACTCATTGAGCAGCATCATAAAATATCCATATCTACATTCTACACTAACATAGATAAACCCACTTTACACCATACACACACACATTAACACTACAATAACACAACAAAAAAAGAAGATGACGATTCCCTAGTCTCTACGACTACGGAGAAGAGGACCAAGGTAAAAGGTAAAGTAAAAGTAAAAGATAACACATTACGAAATATACAGTGCATAAGATTTGTACTGTACACGAAATTTTACGATTTTGGCGTTTGGCATGTATAAGTAAATTTAACGAAATTATGCGAGAAAACCACCACACATATACACTGCTATCATTTTGTGTGCGTAAGTACAAGAATTTGTTCTATTAAAAAGTTCTCGTATTTTTAAGAATACCAGTATCATAGATTATATATTGTTAATTCACGTTAGTTATAGTATGCCATGTACACTGAGTTAAAATTATAACTGGAGGTAGCACTGCCATGGCAGAAGTCTGTCAACAGCGTGTCGCTGATTTTGTTAGGTTGGTATAGCAGTGAGTTTTCTTATCATAGCAATAACATGGCTTCTATAACTAGGTTGGTATAGCAATGAGTTTTCTTAACCAATAACATGGCTTCTTATAACTCACACCTCACGCAAACATGGCGGCTGGCGAAACGCATCTTTGACATTCAGTGCTACCTCCAGTTAAAATTATAGCTCAGTGGCCATGTATGTCTTACAATTGAAATGATTCAGCCTATGAATGTTTTTTTGTTTTCTTTTATACTGGTTATGTCTTTTGCATGTCATGTTTGCTTTCTAATTTATTCTTATTATTGCTCATATTTATTACCTAATTATGCTATGTTTATAAAGTGATTAATCCTATTTAATGTATATTCCAATGTAAAAATGGTGTTACCGTTGAAAGGATAAATTAATAAATAAATAGTACAATTAATTGATACTGGCAGTCTTCACTGATTGCAATTACTAACAATAATGACACAATTAAATGTTCAACGATAAATAAAAATCTAAATCATTTAAACATACATCAACCCCGGACGAAGGACGGGTACTCTGCTAGTATGATAATAAATACGCGAGCGAATAATTAACATAAAGTAGTAAGCCTTCAGCCCATTAGTAACTAAACTAAATTTGATTTTAATTCCACAATGTTGGAATGATATAGATAATTATTATTATAACACTAACAAGAATTGTTTAGTAAGCAAACAAAGGCGCCAACGCCAACCGCCAACAGGTGAATGTAGATTAATTTAGCGAATAATGCGGTAGATGAAAGCATTATACATATTTATTGCTTATTTGCGTCACAACACTCAGTTTAATTAGCTGGTCTTATGATCAATGTTTATTTATGAGTGGATTGTTACTGGCGTCAATTTAATCGTAAAATACAAGGATATTTATTATGAATTGTAAAAACAATATTTGAAAGCTTTTTGTTTTGTGAATGGTCTATGTGTATATTGTATATCCAGTCTATGTTCCATTTGGCAATTAATTAGCTCTAAGTGGAAGTAGGCCATCGTGCAATCTGGAGCCATTTCATGTTGGTGGCGTTTAGTTTAAATTGATTATGCTGCCTAAATGTTTCTAATTTATTTTAAAACGGATTTTACGAGCTGGTCCATAAGGATGATAATTCTAGGTTTAATCATAAATTAATCAAATCATCCCCATCCGTTTGGTGTCCCTATCCCGTATGGCTTTTCCGTGACGTCAATATTTAAACTTATAGGACTATTCTACAACGCCACTCCACAACGTTATTGTAACAACACAAGGAAGATATTCTAAATAGTTTGTATATCCTACAACGGTATAATATGTGCTTATAAACTCACTGTTACTGTGTTGTTTGGTTGATAAGATCAGAGACAATCTTTGTTCTTCATCGACAATCAAGAAGGCACAGTGTAATCCCATTCTTTTAGGAACTGCGACGCCTTCTAAAACACAACGCAACTCATCTAACAGTTCTGTTTTGTAGTTGCATTAATCAATTGGTGGAGTTCATTTGTCAACAACTAAACGATTTATATAAAAGAGAAAACCTCCGTTACCAACACAAACTTTAAATTAACTCAAGATTTCACATCAAACCTTTCTCCATCTGAAGCTAGTGACTACTCCCTTTGGAAAGTTACAAAAAACTTAAAACGTCCACAAATTTGCATTCCACCTATTCTAAAAGAAGACGGTTCTTGGGCCAAAAACAACATCGAGAAAGCAGATGTATTTGCTTCATACTTCAAGGAAGTGTTCAAGCCATATAATATTAATTCAAATGTTGAGCAAGAAATTTTGGAATTCCTCGATTCTCCAAATCAACTTGATTTACCAATAAAATTGTTCACACCATCTGAAGTAGCTAAAGTGATAAAAGACGATTTAAACGGCAAAAAAGCCCCCGGTTATGATCTGATAACAGGTAAAGTGTTGAAAGAGCTTCCTAGAAAAGGAATAGTTTTCCTTACAGTACTTTTCAATGCAGTTTTACGCCTTGAATACTTCCCAATACAGTGGAAGGTTTCACAAATTGTTGTTATTCCGAAACCTGGTAAACCTTTAAATCAAGCATCCTCGTATCGGCCTATATCTCTTCTTCCTGTGGTTTCTAAAGTTTTTGAAAAACTTTTCTTAAAAAGACTCCAAATTATAATTGACGAAAAAGAATTGTTGCCTTCCCATCAGTTTGGATTCCGCCGAAGGCATTCCACCATTGAGCAAGTGCATAGAATAGTGAATGTAATCAAGGAAGATCTTGAAAATAAACGTTTTTGTTCATCTGCTTTTTTGGACGTAGCCCAGGCGTTTGATAAAGTCTGGCACACAGGATTATTGTTCAAAATTAAAACTTTGCTGCCCCATACATACTATGGAGTGTTGAAATCGTATTTGTCCAAACGTTTTTTTCAAATTAAATATCAAGATATAGTTACAGATGTGCATGAAATTGAATCAGGTGTACCACAAGGCAGTGTTCTTGGACCTATTTTGTATATTTTGTTCACTTATGACCTTCCAAGTACTCAGGGTATTACGGTTGCAACATTTGCAGACGACACTGCTTTTTTATCATCAAATCAGGATCCTATTCTGGCATCATCAAACCTTCAGGCTGCATTAGACGATTTGTCTCAGTGGCTACAGAATTGGAAAATTAAAGTAAATGAAACAGAATCCGTTCAAGTTACATTTACTATGTCTACAAGAACTTGTCCCCCAGTAACATTGAATAATGTCATGCTTCCACAATCCAACGAAGTTAAGTACCTTGGTATGCATCTCGACAGACGGCTTACATGGTATTCACACATTTGGAACAAACGACTTCATTTAAATTTAAAAACAAACAAACTAAGTTGGCTCATTGGTCGAAATTCAAAATTATCTGTTGAAAATAAATTACTTTTATACAAAATTATATTGAAACCTATTTGGACCTACGGTATCCAACTCTGGGGAACCACTTCCAACTCAAACATAGAAATAGTTCAAAGGTTTCAATCGAAAACATTGAGAAAAATTTTACAAGCACCTTGGTTTGTCACAAATAAAGTAATTCATCAAGATACAAAATTACCCTATGTTAAAGAAGAAATAAAGAAACGAAGTGAAAAATACCAAAGAAAATTAGAAACCCATCCAAATTTCCTGGCAGTCAACCTCCTCGACAATAGTGAAGCTACATATAGGCTCAAAAGAGTTAATCCAATAGACCTTCCAAATCGTTTTTAGTTAAACTTTTTAAAAGTTTTGTATGTTAGTGCACTTGATGGAGTGTAACTAACCCACGTTAAAATGGTTATAAAATTTACTTATTATTCTAAGGGGTGGACCAAAAAAACAGGGACAATTTTAAAATGTTATTACTCAGCTGTTATAAAGGCTGGAGAGTTCATTGATGCGGCAAAAGAAAGTTTATTTGATGCCATTTAGTGTATAGTTACTATGGATCATCAATGGTTACCGCAACATCGTGCCTGTGTCATAGATACTTTTTTGAAGAATAATTTGACTTTCATTTCTACTCAACGTATTCAACGTAATTTCGTGTTCACTTCAACTTTGACCGTAATGGTGCAGCCCCAAACCGAATAAACTACCCAAAGATGGGTAAACAATGTCCTAAACAAGGCTTTTGTACTCAAAATTAAACCTATGCAAATTTAAATGCCAATGCAATGTTTTGCAAACGGTTGGCTTTGGACGCTGGACGCAGGACACTCGCGCGAACCATTTCAATGTTTTCCGGCGTTCGAACAGTCCGAGGCATCCCACTAGATTTGACTTTGAGTACAGAAGACGTGTTCTGAAAATAACTTACCCAAATTTTTCGCTTTGGGGTTGCACCATTACGGCCAATGTTGAAGTGAAAACGAAATTGACGTTGAGTAGAAATGAAAGTCAAATTATTCTTTAAAAAAGTCTCTATGACAAAGGCACGATGTTGCGGTAACCATTGATGATCCATAGTAACGATACACTAAATGGCATCAAATAAACTTTCTTTTGTCGCATCAATGAACTCTCCAGCCTTTATAACAGATGAGTAATAACATTTTAAAATTGTCCCTGTTTTTTTGGTCCACCCTTTAGTATAGAATAGATTGTAAATAAATACTTGTTAAAAAAAAACAAAAAACTTTAAATAATGCATTCAGCTGATCCATAAATATTTTGATTTGACAGGGAGTATGTTTAGTGTTGTTATTGGCGATTGAATCGTAGATTATAGAGCTCCCTCCAATCATAGGTTTTATACCAATTATGCCATTGCTTACACACCAATGTTTCTACAATTAAAGATTAGATAACCAATTTTATAATCAGCTATAATCATTGGCTTTGTAA